ATAAAATTGGCTTTTTAAACTTTGGATCGGCATTTTGCACGACCAATTTCCGGTAATATACTGTAGGGGTGTGTATACAAAATACGTCTGGTGAAGTAAACAAAAGTAGATTGCAACCGAATTCAATTGATTAGAACGGGATTTATTTTCTCACATATACCACTAATTCTAACTTCTCACAAAACGTTTTTTTTTCAAATTCTATTGTGAATCGCAATGAGAAATCTTACTTTGACAAACCTCTATATAACTCTTATGGTATTTGCCATCTTTGTGAAAAACGGCTTTAATGTTAATGCCTCAACTATCGAAGCAACATTACAAAGAAATATTCACGATAAAGAATTAATAGCTCGACAACAACCCGAAACAATATCTTGTAGTGAAAAATTCGATGACATCCGTAAATCCACTGCTGCGGATGTTGGGATACCTGAAAATACAATTATTACAAAACTAACTATGGAATGCAACAGTAAATTAGTAAGAGCTAGTGTTAATAGTTACGGATTACGGAAATATATTGACAACCGGTTTGTTGATATTAAAGGTGTTACTATGAAACCATTAGAAGACACAGCAATTCCTAAAAATATAGGATGGTTTATTATTGGAAGATATTTACTCAGTGCAGATCCTTCTGAATGTCTTAATGCTCCCCAAGAAGGATTGTATGTTTCAGCTCATCTATGTGTGAGTGTCAGTGAGCCAGGTTATGAAGAATCGTATGATGTACCATGTACAACTGAACAAAATTTTATACAAGGTTGTCCTCCTAACTCTAAAAAACCTGACTCCGAAGACCCTGATTCTGAAAACCCTGATTCTGAAAACCCTGATTCTGAAAACCCTGACGCTGAAGATCTTTTTCCTTGTTACAACAATACCTCTTCTACCATTTCCTCTAGCACCACCACCTCTTCCCCTAGTACTACCTCTTCCCCTCTATATTGCACTCCTACTAAATTAAATTCTTCCTCCTCTCCCTTTTCTCCTTCCTCTTTTCTCGCTTTCTTTCCTTTTGTCTTTTCTTTTATCTCTTTTTTCCTATTGTGATACAGGATGACTGATCGATAAATTAGCCTATACATTTTGTGTCTTATCATTATTTATTAATGAAATAAAGCATTCTTGCATCTCCTGAAAATGCAAGATTATTGCTCATCCTCCATTCTTGAGATAATTATTAGTTTGTTAATAATAGACTCATAAATTCGTTTCAGAGGTTATTATATCGCCATCAAAAATTTCACTAATAAGGATACAAAACAAACCCGACACAAAAAAATAAAAAATACTAATAGAAAATGTCGGTGAGGTAATTTTACATATAAACGTTAACTCTAAGTCTAACTCTGACCCTAACCTTAAAATCAACCATTAACATTACAGTAAAATTTCCCGGGATCGACCTAACCGGGGACGCATTCCAAATTTTAAAAGCATGATGTATCTAATATTTGATTGGCCAAAGCAAAATACTGTAATGGTTTAAAATTATGATTTATATGGTCAAAAATGAAAAATAAATTTATCGACCTTTATAATGCCAGGCAATTTTATAATGTCAGGTAATACTTTTTCAGCCTTTGGCCAATCAAATACTAAATTTCTAATGACGTAAGGGAAGTGTCTTTTATCACCTGATTTTTTATGTTGGGGGGGGGGGAGAAAGTCTCATAATAAATGGGAATCACCTGATAAAATGAAATCTATCGACTATAAAGAACTCGTGTTGAGTTGATAGTTACATAACTGGAAAAAGTTCACGAAGACAATATGTAAAGAACCAAGACCAATTTATAGCTCAAGTTTGCGCACTATAATGAACTCACAAATAAAAAAATCAGAGGAATTATACGTTCATATCCAAAAATCTAGATTTTAAAAATAGTAAAGCTTTCAGTGATAAAGCACTCTTTGAGATTGCTCATTCATATCCCAATCTGAAATATCTCGATGTAATAACTTGGAACAATTATATAGTAGCAAAACTAAAATTGCACACTCATGCCCCAATCTGCAAAATCTCTATCTGTTAACATTACTGATACTGCTGTCGAAGCACAGTCATGCCATAATATGGAATATCTCGATCTTGATGACTATATGTTTATTACCGATTCATCTATATGCGATATTGCATGTTCATATCCAAACCTTCAACATCTTGATCTTAGTGCACGTGAACTCTTCATTACTGATATAGCTATCAAGAAATGTTCTAATCTAAAAATTTTCTTGGTTAGATATTAGTAGAAAAGCAATAACCCAAATATTAGAATAGAGCACAGATAGTGAGTGGTCCTATTCTGAATAAATTATACCTTTAAGAGATTGGTGCATAATCTATATTGAAACATATGATATGTTCGTTAGAATTTCAGTGTTATTATATCCAAATTATAAAAACTCACTACTCACACAGAGAAAGATTCCACCACCAACACAAGCTGAAAATTCGGTAAATGATAGCTGATTATGGGATGGGCGTAGATCTAGAATGTGAATATGTGAATTAATGGCTAGAAAACAAAATAGTCATTAGAGCTGGAAGACAAACCTTTGAATGACACAGTAGAGAGAATAGAAAGGTTGCATGTTCTACAAGCTGGTAAATATTCGGAATAATCCAGCAGAAAAATTCTATGCAAAGCAAAACTGAACAAATATCATAAATTTACGGAACTCGATGAAGAACAGTTTAAAATACAAAGAACCAGATGCGGTGATGTATCAAAAAATAAGAAGGTTCACATTCATATCGAAGTTTTGCGGAAGCTAACAGATGTGAAGACCTTCCTTAGACGAATCGAAAAAATCGTAGTCTATTTAAATCCCAAACTTAACTATGTGATTATTTTTTGTTAACTCAGGCCAAGGAATTTTAACGGGCTGCATGTTGATCATCGTGATTGAGGCGTAGGATTGTGCTGCAGAAGAAAACCTGCACTGTACACTTATTACATAGTAATAGACACAAAATACATATGGCAGTGTTGTTAATGTCATTATCTGAGCAGTCACAAAGAAATTTTTTTTGAAACGGTTATTTAGCCATCCACATAAATTTTTTGGATTAATATGATACATGTATTATTTCATCCCTTAATGTTAAATGCATTTTGATAATCTTTGCGTTTTGTATAATTAGATTTATTGTCTTAGTTATTTAGTTAAATACACAACTGGTTCGTTAGCTCAAAAGGCCAAAAGTTATTAATCTGTTAATTAACAACACTGACATCTGGTGAGAAAAATAAATAGATTGCGAACCGAATTCAATTGATAAAAACCACAAATTTAGAACGGGATTTATTTTCTCATATATACCACTAATTCTAACTTCTCACAAAACGATTTTTTTTCAAATTCTATTGTGAATCGCAATGAGAAATCTTACTTTGACAAACCTCTATATAACTCTTATGGTATTTGCCATCTTTGTGAAAAATGGCTTTAATGTTAATGCCTCAACTATCAAAGCAACATTACAAAGAAATATTCACGATAAAGAATTAATAGCTCGACAACAACTCGAAACAATATATTGTAGTGAAGAATTCGATATCCGTAAAGCTACTGCTTTGGATGTTGGGATACCTGGAAATACAATTATTACAAAACTAACTATAGAATGCGACAGTAACTCAGTAAGAGCTAGTATTAATAGTTACGGATTACAGAAATATATTGACAACCGGTTTGTTGATATGAAAGGTGTTACTATGAAACCATTAGAAGATACAGCAATTCCTAAAAATATAAGTTCGTTTGTTATTGGAAGATATTTACTCAGTGCAGACCCTTCTGAATGTCTTAATGCTCCCCAAGAAGGATTGCATGTCATAGCTCGTGTATGTGTGAGTTTCAGTGCGCCAGGTTATGAAAAATTGTATGAGGTGCCATGTACATCTGAACAAAATTTTATAAAAGGTTGTCCTCCTAACTCTAAAAAACCAGACTCCGAAGACTCTGATTCCGAAAACACTGACTCTGAAGATCTTTTTCCTTGTTACAACAATACCTCCTCTACCATTCCCTCTAACACCACCTCTTCCCCTAATATTACCTCTTCCCCTCTATATTGTACCCATACTAAATTAAATTATTCCTCCTCTCCCTTTTCTCCTTCTTCCTCTTTTCTCGCTTTCTTTCCTTTTGTCTTTTCTTTTATCTCTTTTTTCCTATTGTGATACAGGATGACTGATCGATAAATTAGCCTATACATTTTGTATCTTATCGTTATCTATTAATGAAATAAAGCAGATTTTTCACACTTTCATCGAGTCGGTGTTAAAAATACCTCACCCGCCATTCTTTGAGATAATCCTTGGTTTGTTAATAACATGCAAACATAAACTCGTCTCGGGGGGTTATGCAGATCTTTCCCACGTGATGTAAATACAAGCTTAAGATTAAAGGGATTATACGTAAAATTGTCTTCCCAAATTTTTTATTAATGCTTCAAACTAGATTTAGGCATCTGTTTCCCGTGTTTGTCTCATTGCATTTCTTGTGTCGGATTTGCGTATTTTCACATTTCATTTTCTGTGTCGGATTTGTTTTGCCAAGTTGATCAAAAAAATTGCACATCCTCATTGGCGGGGGGGGATATTTGCACAACCGTGATAAGACACAAGCGAACAAACACATCTGTCATAATTTAAGAGTATATACACTGTGTAATACGACAGATACCTTACTTAAGCTAAAAATCATGTAACTTGCATGCAACGAGACTGTTCCTTCAGTCCATAACCATGATGAGTTCTCACACCCAGATATCTTCTTTATTCCGCATAATTAATAAATTTTTGATTAATAACTAATAACCATTTTTTATGGACATTAACGTCTACGTTTTTGATTAATTTATTATCTTGAAAGATTTCGCGTTGATTATGCAGGCGAGATCGTTATATTCTGACGTGAGAGTTTGAAAAAATGGTTTTTAATTATAATAGAAATAGAAATTTGTTGAGATTCAATCAATTGACAATGTATCCGATTTTATCCAATAAAAATCCTAACGCTAACTATTCGATTTTTCTTCAATACAAACCGCGATAGGTTGGATCCTACCGAGAATCACATGGATAATTTTTAACGTTAATATCGCGTTTAACTAGTCATGCGAATTGCAGCTATGTGGGAAATCTGAGACTTTAGATATCCAATATTAATTCGTGAGATACATGTTTTGGTTAACATGAAAGTTAAAACGAACGTACGTACTATTTATCTTTTTCACACTAGCTGCAATTCGTATGACTCCTTTTTCACGCAGTCACATAATGGAGTTCAAATCATTGAACTAGAATTCAGAATCAGAACAAGAAATTGTTAACGAAGATAATTATTTACAGCAGAGAAGAAGTAAAAAGTTTTTTTTTTTTAAATTAATCGCATTATCATATTTTTGTATCGATCGATATACCCATGAGGGATGTTATAGTCCGAACGTATTCGAGTTCTATCTAATCTTCCTGTTATTCGTTAATATTTTAAAATTTTTTAAGACTACTTAATACTCCTCTAACAAAAATATGTTTATTTTTATATGATGAAATTGAAGTTTAATATTCAGAATTATTCAAAAAAATATTATATAATGCAAAAAATAAAATTAAGAGTTCCAAATTGGACTTTTATAATAATAAATCAAAAACACGTATTTCACAAATAACTAATAATAAATGCTAAAATAGTGTCTTTAAATTTGCAATTCTAGACCTCTTACACTACAATCTCAAATTATAGTGCAACTCCTTAATTAAAACAATTACTTATTTCACCATTTCACCATTTTTCCAATCACTTTCTAACCCTTCCACCATTAGAATAACCTCGTCGACTGCTTTCGGATGAACATCAGGTCGTTCAGCCCATTTCGCGCATTCATCCAATAATTTATTCAGTTCTTCATGCTTACCATCAGTTGTCGCCGATTTCATTGGTTTATTTGAATTTTTACGTTCTATTGATAGGAATTTGGTCTCTATTGCTTTTTCCTCGTCACAATTTCGTTGCTGTTGTTTTATTATATCACTGCCAGTCCTTGTTCGTATAATTGTTTTTATTCGATTTAGTGCTCTTACATCTTCATCTTCATCCTTAGCACATCGGGATATGATAATTCGTAGTAATAATAGAAAAGTCATGAAGAAGATTATTACAGATATCACAAAAAGTATCAATATTAGGTGATGTTGTTTCATATTTTGTGTCTTGTACGTCGTATTAAGAGTAATAGCAGAAGAAACTTTATTGTTGATTTTGCTCTCAGCAACAACAGAATTATAGTCTATAGTTGTAAGATTAATATTATCATTAATACCGAAAAAAGAAAAATATATTAAGTGAATTAGAATCAATATAATCAAAAAGCTGTATCGGTATCTTTTTAGTAACTTGAGAATTTTGTTTGATTTTGAAGTAGTGAGAAATAATAACGAGAACTTCATTTTGGATAAATAATAACAAACTAAAAAGTGAATTTATCAATCAACATTACACATCATATCGGATATCGCTAACCTAAACCAATTTCATACATATACGTATATGAACTTACATTCTTGAAATCGAAGGAATTTTTCTGTAGAAGTTGCGCATTCAAATGTTTTGTTTTCTTGAAGAATGGATGAAGTAAAAAGATAATTATTAATGAAGAGAATGAAAAATACCAAGAAGGATTTTGAAATAAAGTTTAGAATCACTTATTGTAAATAAATAGAGGCTTCGCTGATGTTTGTCGTGCTAGTTTTCATTTCTTAGCCACACACATTTGATTTCGTTAAATAAATTTGATAGACATCATCGTCGATCTACTGTATTTTGCGTAGCAAATATAATGTACGTACGTATTTGTAAATGGAAGTCAAAAAAGTGATAACATGAACATGTACATGTATATCGATATACGTACAGTGTGAAAGCACGTAGTACTTTTCGCCTTGAATGGTAATATAACAGCATAATAGTCAATAAGATGTTTTTTATTATGAATTATTTATTTGTTTGTTTTTGGAGTTTTGTAAATTGGAATTATATAATGCAAGTATTATGCGGTCCTTACGCTTACAAGATTTTCGTAACAGATGTATTTAAAGAAGAAAGTACCCAGAATTTTGTTTTACAAAAACACTCTTTATAATGAGAAATAAGAAAGCACAAAAATTATTCATTGAAAAATTTAAAATATGCTGTTTAGCATTTCCTTATCGTTATTTATTATGCGTCTAATTAATGTAACATTAATTTGAGCAGAATAACAGGATGCAATGTTTTTTTTATGAGCAATTTCCAAGACATCTTTTTATTGGATTGGTTTTACTATAAGAAGTTTTGTAGCTTCGGTTTGTTTAGGCTTAAAATTATTGAACAATGACAATTCTTTTTTGCAGCTTTGAACCTGTTTCAACCAAAATTTTACTCATAAATGAAAAAAGCAATATCGACATGACTACACAAAATTTGAGAGTTTGAAACAGCGACAACCCAATACCCTATAAAAAAAGCGATATTCCGCCATAGTACGCCACAATGCGCAGGAAAATATTGAGACAAGGACAATCGGTGGAAAATACTATAAAGTTCGTGACTTCCGTGCACGTATCTCAATATTTTATCTTTTCATAGATATTGAAAGAAGATCATGTATGTGTATGAGATAAAAAAACAAAGTGATTATGATAAAGACTTGATTGTTTGGATGCCCGAATCTGTAATTTATTTTTGCTTGCAGAAATTAATGTTTCATCGCAGGCTGCAATTAGCGTATCCACATTCACGATAGAGAAATAATTACATGCACTGTTTTTGGAATTCTTCGTTTTGCACCGCTGTTCTGTCTCGCTAATCAACAGACATGACCGCCATTACAAGAGAAACGCAGTTAAACGATAGGTCGGGAAAATTCTGCAAATATCATTGTATCGAAGATTTATTATAAGCATCGCTATATCGAGGTTTAATTAGTTATCGGCATATCGCGTTTTGACTGTATACTAAAGTAGCAAAGTTCCAATGATATATCTACGTATATCGAATTGTGGCTTCATAGAAGTCATCATCACTGCTGCCGTACCAGCTATCCTACCACAATTACCGGATTAAAAGCAGGTCTGAAACAAAGAAAATAGATTTGGTCTTTTTGGTTGAAAAATATTCATATGCAAAAAAGTCTCTGGTTCCAATACATTAACTGATTTACAGATTTTAACAGTCCAATTGTTGATGCTAATTGAATTTTATTCAGAATCACTTTTACTGGATCATTTCAAATAATATTTGGATATTTATTTTTTAAATATATAATACATAAATACTAATTACGTGCGTAATAGTTTTGAATTGAATATCGAAACTGGGTGTTACTATAAATTGTAATTTTTCTAAATACAGTGGAAATCAAAAGAAATGCAACAGCGTCAAACTTTATTAATAAAATATAATAGAATATGGGTTTTTCTTTCTATATAAAGGTTTTCAATTTTACTAATCAATATTCTTTATTTCTGTGCAAAATACAAATAATAGTCCATATTTTAACATATATTTTTCAGATTTTTTAGATTTAATCTGAAGTAAGTTAATTAATTTTTTATAATTATAAATTTTGACGCTGTTGCATTTCTTTTTATTGCCCCTATATACATGTATATTTCTATTATTACGTAATAATTTCAGCAAGTAATTGGTTTAGTTTAAAGAATTCAAATATTACAAAAATATTTCGGTATTTTAGAATTAATAATTAAAACTTTTTATATGTCATATATAGTAACTTGCAAAGAAATGCATCACTTGCAAATTTATCATTAAAACATAATAAATTCAAAAGTTTATTTTCATCAAAACATTTATTTTTATAATTGCAAAGTAGGTGTAAATTTTTTATTGATTGGTAAATTTTACAATAACTTTACAATTAAAAAATGAACTTCAAAAATTTGAATCCAATCTTTATTTTGATATATTACATGTATTAGAATTGAAACTTTTAATTATCTCTGTTTGCAATATGACCTAACGCTAATCCATTTTATTTTCTAATCATATTGTAATTACACTTATTAAAGATCTGTTATATTCCCCCCTTTTTTTTAGAAAAAAAAAACTATTATTGGCTATACGTATAAGGACAAGGATAATTTTGCACAGTATAAACTTGCATCATTTCAAATGTTACACATTTATTCTTTATTCTTTTATAACGATAAGAAAATGATCAATCTCATAATGCGAATAAGCTCACTACATGTATTTGAAGAGCCCATTCATCATTTAAAACAACCGTCATGAATAAAAAAGTACAAATTTAGATATACAAGCACTTCTCAGGACCAGTTTAATTCTTTATGATATGTCTTAAACCATACCAGCATTATCCGTACCATATTTTTGTATTATACCTTGTACATGTACTTTAAATAGATTTTGCGGGTAGCGGTAGATTATACTGCATCAAGTATTGCTTTTCAAGTTGTATAACACTAAAATAGAATGGTACGTATCTCCCTTGTTGTGAAAAAGTGGAAAAAAAGTACCCGAGTAATATAAACCGTAAAATGCAATAATGAGTAAGCAAATGCTTCGAATTTTTTCTTAATAAGAGAAAATTGTCACATTGCATAACTTTTTGAATCACATTACTTACTAGCATTACGACGATATTAATGCTTTTTATGATACTTCATTTTTCGCGTGTAAAATTATTCTAAACAAGTTCGGATTTAATTTACGATTTTTGAATAAGTCTATACATGTATAATCCGAAAACCAGCATAATTAAGGGGCCAAGTTTATTGATATCGATCGTGATTCAATAGACATCTGTGACCGATCTTAATCATTCAGTTTTCAAATCCATCAATTCTGTCAAAAAAGATAAAAAGATTAGTTAGTATGTTCGTCCAGTTAGCTAACTTTTGTTCTATCTTTCATGTGTTCTAACTTCCAAGTCGTTGCTAGAAAGGCCAGTTCTGACAGAAATTAGAATAACGATAATTACAAATGTTTGTAGTACAAATCAAACGTGGACTTTGGATTATCAAACTTTGTGGAGAAAGAAGGCAGGGAATGCTTACTATATATAGCAATATTGCATATGTAAGGTTCTTTATTCGATTCTTTTACTGTTACTATTCACAAATTTTTAATCTACTTAACCAGAGGATCGATAAACCTACTTTTTAAACGGATTTCGACATAAACTATCAAAAGAGTCAACGGTATGACAGATTTTCGGCGCAAGAGAGAATTTTTAACAATCGAAATTCTTCGAATTTCCACATTGTTTGTTTTTTGTCTTACATTTATTCTCTAAAATAATCAGATAATGCACCACCAACATCTGCTCCTTGACGTCCATAGCAGTTAATTGAATGGAATCATCGAATAAAATAGTAAATCGCCTTAAATTCATCAATCAATCCTTCTTCCAGTTCTTTTTATTCTTCACGCCGTGTTTCTCGGCCGTCGTCAAACGTTGATAGGGTAATCAATCAAACATGTGACACGGAATGTCCTATGTGTCACGTATATATTAATCTTCTATATATCCGATGACGAAACGAAAATTTTTGAAGGAGTGATGGAAACATACGTACGTAGTCACTTATTCATTACCTTTTGTGAAGAAGGGCTTATTACTACATGTATTGTTAAATATTTTATTTACTGTGTTACATAATCATTCAATCAACAACTCCATAGAAAACTCCGATAAGAGTTAGAATGCTTTTGTTATGTGGGTTTGTTTGAAAATGAATAAAACTTCTTATATACTGTAAATAAAGAGGGTATCAATAATAAAACGAAACGAAACGCAATCTTTACCTTTTTGTTTTAAAAATAATGTTTTGGTGTTGGATGTAATCATATTTTTTTTCTGTATATTATTCAAGACTAAAAAGAAAGAAACGTGCAAATTCAAAATTTTCCATTTTGGCATTTCATCTTACAATAAACTAATACACGCGGGAGCACACACGGAGCACACTCTCGAAAATAACTGCGACAATACGAAATTTAGCCCCAGACCAAATATTATTTTAACGGTGACGAGATAATAATAATAATAATAAAAATAATCGTGCAAATTCTAAACATAGTTCTGAAGTTTAAAATTTGGCGTCAGACAACAGTCGTTCGCGGGATCGTCGTTGTTGTCGTTTGCAACCATCTGCGTTTGACTCGGTCTTCAGAGTAATAACGCAACAAATACCAGCATAAATGGCTGGGGAAAAGGTAAGAACGGGAATCAAGTTTTTTTTTTAAGTTTAATCATTTAATCATAATATTTATTTTTTTTTGAAACTAAAGGAAGTTGAAAAAATAATTTGTATTGTCTGCGATCTCTCTTTACTTTTAATCCTTTTCTACCAACTCGTGGTGTATGTGCGTCGTTACAATGAAGACCGTCTTTTCCTAAAATCTTTTATTTGGTCGAATTTTGCTCTGGAATTAGGTTATTATCTCCACCTTGATAACACATCCATCCCAATGATTACGATTCATCATCACTAATAGCTTCTCACCACATAATAATCTTTGTAGCATCATCAGTTTTTCTAATACTTTTCCTATTCCGGGATAAAAGATGGGAAATCGGCGGAATAATAGCCAGCGGCCTAATAACATTACTGGCACAATTTTTTCTTGGATTCCAAGCATACCTTACATGCAATAGTCAACGATTGACCTTTTTATTCGGAGTTTTTGTAGCGGCGTGTTTCACTTTTACGAGTGGAATTGCGTGTGCCGTTGTTTTGGCAAACTTTCAAGTCGATTACATCACGTGCGTATGAATATGGCTAATTTATCGTGGTAGTATAGAAACGGTGACTGATATTTCGATGATAATTCTTTTATAGAACTTTGATTTATTTATCACTGTCTGCAGGATTGGACTTGTTACTAGTTTCTGTGTTCTCTTATGGATTTTTTAAAGTAAGCAAGGAAACAATGCTTCATTTTTTTTAGCGAAAAACAATTAATAAATATTTATTTGATTATTTACAGGGCAAAGAAACCTTTGACCCGCATGCGTATCAAGTAATGCGCATCCTCATTGTCACCATGAATGTATTAACTTTGATAGCCTTTTTGGAATTAATCATATACGCCGTTTTCCACACAAATCTCTTTGTACATGTCTTTTCAACAAAATGTTATTTCCTACTGGTTCTTTGGCCAATCAATCATCGAGTATCCTCTACAATCAATGATAACCGGAATTCATGTGACGACTATAGTCAAGACAAGAAAAAACCCTCCTCCAACAGCAATAGCAAAAACAAACACCACAATTCAATTGAAGTTGAACCAAGTAGAATAAGCGAAAGTAGCGGGTACGTGTATGAACTCCCACGACAAAATCAAAACATCATCAGTGCGCCGGCTTCTGTCTATCATTCGAGGTCGAAATCAAGTGCGACGAGCACAATGACAATGACTTCGTCACATCGTCTTAGTCAAGTCAATTTGGAAGCTTCCCATGCTGGATATTGGGCATCCTTGGATGATGAATAGCTTTGAAATTTGGATTTGACTATCCTTCTCCTTTCTTTTATGTTTTTTTTTATTATCTGCATAAATGAACATTTTTTGTGTGTGATTCTTGCGAAAGCGGAATGGGATTCTCTTCCCTCGGTCATTATCATTTCTTCTTCTTGGGGTCCGTGTATGTATACGTTATTTATCATCAATGGGGTGGTGGTAATAATAATAATAATCATAATCATATATGATATATTTGATATATATATATTCAATAAAATCCCTTTAACATGAATACACTCAAATAATTCACAAACACCTTTTCCATCTTTTTTTCGGTTGTGTGGCTCTTCTTCTTCTGAACATTTATGTAATTTCTTATAAAGTTGTTTGTGGCATATTAGCAATCAATAATATCTGTATTGTACTTGTTACCCTAATTTTGTATAAATAATAGACATTCTTTACTTTCTTTTCCCTTTATCCACCCCTTATCCTAAATTTACCAACCTCAAATCACCACATTCTTTGTACAAATTTTTACCTTTTTTTGGTTAGGTGTCGTGACGACTCCTTGGTGACGATAAGATGACGATGACCGAAGATTTATGACGTTTCTTTTAATTCGGTCATGGCGTCATCCGATTGTTATGATGGAGTTGTCGGTTTCTTTTCGAACGTTCTTTTATTCGTGACATGATCATGAAAAAAAATAGTTGTTAATAACTATTCATAGCAATGTCCTCCGCTATTACTCTTTCTTTTTAGTTTAAACCTTATTATGATTAATATTTTTATCGTATTCAAGATAATAAAATTTTGAATAGTTATATATATCTGTATATATATTCATTAAACAAGAAAATTGATTATTGACGACAAGTGTGAGCGTGTGACTGAGGGCTTCGGAAAAACGAGGAAGAGGTACTATTATTTAATCGTGATTATCAAGTATACATTTATAATAATCTATTGGGAAACTTGCAAAGATAAGGACGGTAAAAGTTTTTGAATTTTTATAACTTAATCCTTTATTAATGTTATTTTTTGATCACTATTACAATATACAAAAGACCATGCAACACAACACATATATTCGTATTCCTTGATTTTTTACACGGCTGATTTCAGAATTTAACTATCAGAATCCTAGCGACATTAATCCTTTTGCGAGTATCTTCACCATTATCGATAAGGTCGAGGTTTTGCGTGGATTTGCTCCTTTTGAAATCGGGACTCTTGGGAATAAATAATCGTTACTTCTTATGGCAATTATTACTTATACTTATCCAAACAATCAACCAACCAACCAATAGTCGCCGAGTTCTTGAATCTTCGCATTTAGTCTTCATCATGTTAGTCAATCAGCGATAATGTCTAGTTTTTCGCAGTGAACAAATCTGAGTATATGCTCAACTATTCCGCAAAAAGATTGTTCAGCGGATACCCATGATCGATATAGATCCTGGTTATATCTATTAGTGCGACTAAAAGTCTCCTTGTAACGAAGTGTACCGTTCAAGAAATCGCCTTCGTTATATCTTACAGGTCTTCGCTACGTTAGTTTTAGAAAATCTTAAATTCATTCAACTGTTAATTTGATAATCCATTTTTCGAATCGCACAGGTATAAAAATCATGAGATTGTGTAATATGATATGGCAATCAAAACTTATAATATCGATATTAATCGTTGAAACATTCATTCATTTATCATAAATAAACATTTTGTTCTTTCTCATTACAATGAATGGAAATTTACCTCGGAACGGATTACGAAAACTATTTGGAAGTGTTGAACGAGTTGTTGGTCTATCTTCGTCTTCGTCAATATTAGGAGTAAAAAATACGCGAATTAATGGTGTTGGAAATTTGGTCGCTTTTGGTGGTGTTGGTGTTGCAGGCTTAAAGAGTTTAGCTGGGTCACAGAGACGACAGTATAGTACTCCTGCTGAGGAAAAGGTGAGGGTTTCGTTTCTAGTGTAGACAGTGATAATTAATTCATTATATTGAAACTAATCACCTGAATAAAAATGGTGGTTTTTTTCGATGATTACGAAATCTATGTTAATAATTTAACACAAACAAAACACCATGATTTTGTGTCTTGAATTAGCGCATGATTCTTTATTCCGTCCTGTATATAATCTAAGTATACATTTTTGGAAAATTACATCTAGATGACTGTACGAGATGCTCTAAATCAAGCATTGGAAGAAGAATTGATTGCTGATGAGCGAGTTTTTTTATTGGGTGAAGAAGTTGGTCAATATAATGGAGCCTATAAGGTTTTTATAAATTACTATCGTTATTTGGAGCGTATTTGGTAGATTCTTGTTTATTTATTTTCGGTATGTGATGTTAGGTATCAAAAGGTCTCTTGGATAAATTTGGTCCTAAACGTATAATCGATACTCCTATAACAGAAGCCGGGTTCGCAGGGCTGGCAGTTGGCGCTGCACTCGCTGGACTGAGGCCAATCTGTGAATTCATGACGTTCAATTTTGCAATGCAAGTAAGTTTATTCTAAAAAAAGAATACGAGGTATAAATTATTTAATCTAATGACGAATCAAAAAAAATTTAACACTTGTCTTCGTGCCCATTCAATAAAGGCAATTGATCACATCATAAATTCAGCAGCAAAGCTTCATTATATGGCTGGTGGAACGGTGCAGTGTCCAATAGTATTTCGTGGGCCGAATGGATATGCTGCTAGTGTGGGTGCTCAACATTCACAAGATTATGCTTCTTGGTATGGGTCTATACCTGGACTAAAAGTTATTTCTCCATGGGACAGCGAAGATTCCAAAGGGTTGTTAAAGGTATTATTATTATTATTTCTATGGATACTCTTCATTTACAATAATTATTATATAGGATTCGGAAGAACTTAACCAAAGAATTAATCTGATAATTTCAGGCTGCAATACGTGATCCGAATCCAGTCGTTTTTCTTGAGAATGAATTACAATACGGTGTCTCATTTCCGATCTCTGCTGAAGTCTTATCAAAAGATTTCCAGTTACCAATTGGAAAAGCAAAAATTATTCGCGAAGGCAAGGACGTGACACTAGTTGCACATTCGCGACCACTAAATTTCTGCTTAGAAGCAGCAGAAAAGTTACAAGCAGAGGATGGCATATCCGCAGAGATAATAAATCTTCGTTCGATTCGACCCCTTGATGTTGATACGATAGTCGCCTCGGTAAAGAAAACTAATCATTTAGTATCCGTTGAGAGTGGGTTCCCATTTTTTGGTCTGGGAAGTGAGCTTAGTGCATTGATTATGGAATCGGAGGCATTTGATTATTTGGATGCGCCTGTGGAGCGAGTTACTGGTGCTGGTATGTAACGATTATTTTGTCTTCTAAGCATACTGTTTGGAAAACTTTTATATATAATCTATATATATGAATTTGTTTATCATAGATGTTCCAACCCCATATGCTTTTAATTTGGAGGCTTTGGCATTTCCTACAGTTGACACAATAGTAAAAGTGGCCAGACACACATTATATCGAAAGAAAAAATAAAAAAATGACCCATTTTTGGATCAGTTAATAGTTTGTAATTGATTTGGTCTTCATCCAATCGAGCGCACACACGGGACAAAAATATCTTAAGCGAAAAGTTATTTTACGATTTGGTATATTCAAATTTTTTATGAACACTTGTTAGAAACATTTGAGTTTGGATGATTGAAAATGAGGAAAAGCAGTCGACCGATTATGTAGAAAACGTTATTCAGCATAGAATGATTTTTGTCAACCTATTACTATTTATTGAATAAAGAGTGTTTTGAACGATCCATCACAACTATTATTTTATTGATTGCACCTCAATCCGAATAACTTGTGGTGATTAAAATTCGATACTCCTCTGATCGAATTTATTAATCTTTTTTCTTCGGCCAAATTGCGGAAGACTAATATTCATTTTGTGATTAACTTTTTCTTCTAGACTAGCAGTGGGGAACAGAAGCTCAGCTTGGAAATAGTCTACGTTGCTTGGATACCACTACCTGGAAGAAGATAATTTTTCTGCTTGCTGTAGCTCTTATGCAAAGCGTCGATAAAAAAGGGTATCCTTCCCTAGTTCATGCTTTGATGGAAGTTGCTTACTTTAATTGGTAATCTAACAGTATAAGGGGGATTTGAGTTTCACTTGCAATATGGCGAGCATCTAATTATGAAGTGCACATTATGATCTTTCTATCCGGCGAAAAAGTGTCAGATCATGTGATTTTTGTGTATGTCCCGAAAAATTCTACGGTAATAAAGGTAATTGTTAAAGATTATTGTTAAAGGTTAATTTAAAGGTTAGAATTAGGGTTAGGGTTAGAGCGGGAGTCAAGATTATATGTAAAATTGTCTTCCCGACATTTTTTTTAGTGTATCAAGCTAGATTTAGGAATCTGTTTCTCGTATTTTTATATTTTTTGCTTTTTTTATTTTCTTGTGTCGGATTTGTTTTGCCGGGCTGATCAAAAATTTACGTATTTTTATTGGTTTTTGCGACCAGTTTTACTGAACCAAATTTTCTAATTTGGATTTTATTCCTGATATAAGCCACAAGCCACAAAATACTAATCACTTATATGATTTATTACATGACATGACATAATATGTAGAAGACATGACAAAATTATAACTTTGACAATTCTCAATTTTATAATGTTATGAACTAACTCTATTATAACTTCTGACAATGGTGAAAGCAATTTCTTCTTCATGAATAACTTTGTCATTGTTGTAAATTTTATATTAGTTTTAAATCTTTGAGCTATACTTATTATTAGTGATAACTTTCAAGTTATTCTGGATCATAGTTGTTCATAGTCTGATTAAGTAGTAATTCTGTGAATTAGTGTGATTTTTTCTGTTAATAAAGAGGATTTCATTTTAAAGAAAACAATTTCATGTGAATTGTTGGATTCAAGCTGGAGAAAGTTAGAAATTTATTTGTTTCTAATACTTTTTGATTTGCTGATTTTATTGCTTTCAAGTTATTTTGATCATAATTGTTTATAGTTTGATTAAATAGTAGTTCTATGAATTAATATGTTTTCTTTTGTTGATAAAGAGAATTTTGTTTCAGAGAGAACAATTTCATATGAATTGTTGAACTTGAATTGGAAAAAGTTAGAAATTTATTTGTTTCTAATACTTTTTGATTTACTGATTTTATTGTTTCCAAGTTATTCTGAATTATAGTTATCTATAATCTGATTAAGTAGTAATTTTGTGAATTAGTATGTTTTCTTTTGTTAATAAAAAGAATTTCATTTTAAAGAGAATATTTTTGTGTGAGTTACTAGATTCAAGCTGGAAAAAATTAGAAATTTATTTGTTCCTAATACTTTTTGATTTGCTGATTTCATTGCTTTTTATTACTTCTTTTAGCATAAAGTAACTATGTATATTGTTATACTATAAATAATCAGTTTGTGTGTATATATAAAAAAATTGTTTCTAGAAAATCAAAACTAATAATCAAAATTAGTTCTCAAAAAAGTTATAACAAATCAGATTATATAAAATAATTAAAAATAATAAAAATAGAGAAATTAATAGTTCAGAATTATAATTTGTTTTAACTTAAGTAATTCCAGTATTTAAAAAAAATCATAGTTCTTAACTATAAGTATTTTTACTAAGCTTTGAATTAAGTTACAAGAAGTATATTTTATTTTATATTTTGATTTATATTTTATATACATGTTTTGTTTTTTGACTTTATTTTATATTTTCCAAATCAAATTATTGTAAAATATAATTATATATTAAACAGAAATATATAACATAAGATTAAGTTTTTATTATTCTTCATAGAATTATTTAAATATTATTTTGTTACTTGATCAATTTTATTAAGAATTTGATTATTCTTATCCTTTGAGAAGTGCATATTGTTTAAAAGTTATTTTTAATTTTAATTTATGCTTTTCAAATAACTTATTATACTATAAGCTTATATAAGATGAATAATGATGATGTTATTTATTTTTTGTTTTAACAGAAAAATACTATTAACAAAAATTATATGTTTGCGAGAATTTTTACTTTCATATATAGAGTTCATTAACTATTAACTTTGCTCAAAATGTTTAAAATAATAATATTATTACTATTCTTATATTAATAGACAAAATATGAACTAATTATAGTATTGTTGTATAATGATCTTTTGTCATAATATTTCATATTATTGAATTATATATATTTTATATCTTATTAGATAAAGATCAAATTATGTAAAGCAAACTAGGGTTCTGAAAAAAAGTCTGATTCAGTTTGAGTTTGGTTCGAAAATTTGAACCTAATTAAAAGTCTGGTTCGAGTTCAGTTCGAATTTCGAACCAGACTCAAACCTGATCAAAAGTTCAATTCGAGTTCAAGTAAATGTTTGTTGATGTTCTAAGTAAAGTTGTAAATCGTAACATGAGCTACAAATTGATATAAGATAG